TCTAAATTTTCATTTTCATTAAGTTTAATATGACAAGTTCTAAGAAGTTTGAAAGAAATTGGTACAATTGCACCATATTTTTTATCTTCAAAAGTTAAACAATTTTGTGAATCATCTTCAGCCTCATTCAATCCAAATTTGGGAATTAAAGTTCCTCTAAATATAAAACATCAGTTTATAAAATAAAGGTACTATGAATATTGTATTACAAATTATAAAATATAATGTACCTGTAACTTGACTTATTGATCATATTTGTATTAACGAATTCTTCTTCAATATAATTTGTGAGATTTTTTATAAATTTTGCACTAATATTTTGAGTTTGTAAAATGATACAAGTCAATTGATCATAAAATAGAGCTTGTGATCTTGGACAATTCCGCACATTACTTAATACTGTTTCTATAAAATTAAAAAAAATTAGTATAGTTATGAATATAAATGAATATAAAGTCAGAAATAATAATATTACATAAGCACTGGTACTTACTAAATAAATTTGTTGCATCAGAGTCTTCTGTTTTTTGCATTAAATGTTTTATTGCCATTACTGCTCCTAAAACACCTTTACATTTTGTGCTAAAATATATTTATTTAAAATTAGACTCTCATATATTAGAAAATCGTTTTTTTTTTTACTTTAAAAACATTTCATGCAATATTTGAGATATCTGAGAAAACAATAACCAATTTGGAATTTATTGTCGAAGCAAAATTTTAATAAATTATATATTTCAATATTAACAATACTAGAAGCATTTGATGAAAGAATTGAAAAGAAGTAAACGAAACTTACTATAATCTAATAACAAATATTAGATTGAAAGGATAATTATCCTAAAAATTATCAAGATAACAGTTCAGCTAAAATCGCCTATAAATAATTAGGAAATTATAAAATTTAAAAACTTATGATCCTGAAGATATGGTATCAACTTTGATCTTTTCTAAGATCAGAACTCTGATCGTAATACATTTATTTTATTTATATATAATTATATATAATATAAAATTATATATAATATATAATACATATATTTTATTTTATTTCGTAATTATATAAAATTAGCTAAAATCTATTTCAAAATTAGGGAATTGTAATATTTTGACACCAGATTTCAAAATTGGTAATTATTTTTTCTTTAAATGATAATACATACAATGGTTTAAAATTAGATAGTTGTTTCTGTAGTAATATGAATAAATCATCACGTAAAGAATCAGCTATAGAATTAGAGTTTGTACATAAATGTTGTAATAAGTCATTCAATGTACCAACTTCTTTTAAATTCAAATTATCCATCTTTTCAAGTAAAATACGAAGATGATTACAGTGTGGCGTTAAACATTGTCTGTCTTCCTGTTTCAATACCATTTTATAAAGAAATGCCAATGTATTTTTTACTGTTTGATCACTATCACCCATAAGAAATATAATTCTTTCCAAGATTTCTCGTTGTTTGAATATATTCTCTTTATGACATTTAAATTGTAAACGCAACCAATCCGTAGAAAAGTCAATAAATACACGTTCATCTGTTTTCAACAAATTACTCGATATTTGTAATGCAGTCGGTTGCAATTCTTGCATGACCTATAAAAAAACATTTTAAATAAATTATTTAAAGTTTTAACAAAGACAATATTTTAATATTGTACTATACTGTACAAACTTGTTTATAATCACTATACAATAAATTTAATAAACTTGTTCTATAAAATCCAGATCGTATATGTTGTTTAAATATAGTTTCAACAGCTTTTCTCTTCATTTCTGTTGTTAAAAATATCAGAAGTAAAAGAATTATATCTAATGGTTTTGGATCTTTAGTAATATTTTTTATGACGCTCATAGTTACATGTACTATATTTTTTGACAAAAGCATATTCATTTTTAACGTATTTATAATATTTAATTGGTTTTGATAACACTCCTCAATTTTGTCTCCAACAAGAGGTTGTATATCAATATTGCGCAATACTTTCAATGTTTTTTCAAAAATTTCTGTGTTTGTACAATCTTCTAAAACAAACCTGTAAAAAAAACAAAAGATAGATAAAAATTGTATATAAAATTATATATTGCATTTTTAATTAATAAAACATACTTTACAATAGCTGATATTGCATTCACTTTAACATTTGTTTTCAATAAATTTAATGTCTTTTCCTTATATTCATTCAAAAATTCTTTTCCAAGATTTAGATTAGTCATACAATCCAATATTAAATTTATTAATTCAGCATTATCTTCCAATATTTTATTCAAAATTTCAGCAATAGCTTGATGTTGTTTATCAGATATAATATCAGGTAAAAATATAATTAATTCATTTTGAAACCACGAGGGACATGATTCCAGAAGTTGTTCTAAGCTGACCAAAGTATCAGAATTAATTACAACATCTAAAAAGCGAAACTGTTGTAATAATGGAAGAGCCCAAGGTACTGATTCAATGGAATCACTAAAAAGATATAAGTAAAAAAACATATAAAAAATGATGGCAATTATAAGAATATTATAATAGTAAAAAACATACGCTATAAGTACAGCTTCATTGAGTTTAGACAAAAGATTGCTATATATTTTTGGATGTAGTTCTGAAACTTGTAACAGAATCTTTATAAGAGATGAACTATGCAAAACATTTGACACTTCACCATCAATAAGTAATTCCATATCACTTAAAGCATTTTTAAGATTCTCCTCATTTTCAAAATATTTTTCTATTAGGATAATCATTTCATCTTTCTTATACTTTTTTGAATTTAGTAATTCTTTCATTTTCTTTTGAACCATTATAACATCTTTATCTATAATAATTTAAAGATACTTATAATATACACTTATAATATTAATTGAATATATTTTAAAATTTATATGCATGTAATGTTAATCGTATGATTCATGTTTCAAATAATTAATTAATACTTACAAAGTACATGTGGAACAATTGGATTTATCTTGATGCCTGATTCATGTAAAAATTCAAGAAATTTACACTTTGTAACAGAAATTGCATTGGTATCTTCCTCTGTAGTTATTGAAAAATTTAATGAACTTTTATGACTTTCACATTTACTTGATATAACATCAGAATTATCTCGTTTTCTCTTTAGAACTGTAGATTCTGCCAAAGGAGAGCCTAAATCAACGTCACTGTCACATTTTGACGAAGTAAGACTTGACAATTTGCGTTTACGTGACTCTTCATTTTTTCCTTCTCCTTTACGTGGTTTATTTAAAAAAATATCTTCATTCCATGATCTGTTCTGACCTATAAACATTTTACTTAATAATTTTCTTTGACTTATAAAATATTTCGATGAACTTACTTTGTGTTGAAAAAATTTTCCCGGCTAATAACACACTATTATTTCTTGGCAACTGTTCAGTTAAAGATTTAGTTTGCGACAAACTATTACTTGATGATGTTTGGTTTCCTATTAAATTTTTATGCAAGCCTTTGAATTTTAATTTTCTTTTATCCATGATAAAGTATTTTTACATACGACAATATGTAATGTCTTTTTCGCGCGAGAGTCTGAAGAGATAGTATAATATTTAAATGTTTCTACGTACATAATACACGTATCATGAAACTGAAAAGAACTATTTCGGATCTTTCGTATGAAAATTTAGTAATTAATAATATACAAGTATAATAACTAAAATGTTAAGATCTAGAATGTAAAAATATGCAAAAATCAAAAGATTTTACATACATTTGTATAAAAAATCTTTGGTATTTTTGAAAAGAGATTTCAAAATAACATTGGCAACACTGATAGCTAATTAGTTAGGTACAAAAGTGACAGAAGTTGGTGTATGCAGAATAACCGTGGATAAATTTTTGAATTAAAGACATGTCATCGACACATTTATCAACAGGACGTTTGAATGTGGGAATTATACAGAAACAAGCAAGAAAACAGTTACTCTGTTTGCTTGAAAAATGTGATGGTACAAAGGTATTGACAAATAACCTTTCAAATTTTTCAGTAATGTATATTGATAAGTACTATTATTATTGTTATGTATTGTTATTTTAATAAATAAAATTAATTAGAAATGAATCTTATTTGTAATTTAATTAATATATATAATTAATATATTATATTTTTAACAATATTTTATCAGGCAATTATATGGGATCAGTCTCTTGAAGGACCAATTGGTCTTGTTGCAAAATACAGTTTGCTTGAAGAACATGATGTTGTCAAAATGTATCCTTTATGTGGTGGAAGTTTGACAATACCGGCAAATATTGTTAATATAATATTCATAACTAGACCTCAGTTAGGACTTATGGATTTAATTGCTGAAAATATTCATGGGTATGTACAAAATAAAAAAAATGTATTTTAAATTTCAATAAGACAATAGTATGAAACCTACGTAACAATTAATTTGTAGAGAAGAAGGAAAAAGACCACGCAAAGAATTTCACTTGTTTTTTGTACCAAGAAAAAGTCTTCTTTGTCAAAAGAAATTACAAAATCGTGGTGTTTTTGGTAGCTTTACATTAATAGAAGAATTTAAATGTGACTTATTTCCTTTTGATAATGATCTCCTTTCCATGGAACTTAGTGGATCATTTAAGGAATTTCATTTAGAAAATGATCCCACTTGCTTGTACCAAGTTGCACAAGCTATTCATGGATTGCAAAGATTATATGGAAAAATTCCAAAAGTTACTGGAAGAGGACCTGCTGCTAGTAAAGTTTGGAAATTATTGGAAAGATTGAATAGAGAAGAAGATGAGAATAAAACAACATTGATTCAATCATCTACTATAGAACATTTGTTACTATTAGATCGCTCTGTAGATTTACTTTCACCTTTAGTTACACAATTAACATATGAAGGATTAATAGATGAAATTTTTGGGATAAGATATAGTTGAGTATTCTTTAACTTTTCCTAAATTTTAGTTTATCTTATAACAAAATATTTCATATATAGTTTGATTATAATTTGTTATCAATTGCTTATTGTATACAATTTATTAAAACGTTATGATTTTAGATGCCGTACAACTACCAGCAAGAAAATTTCACGATTCTCAAGACTCTCCAACAACAATGTCACTTAATGAAAAAGAACAAATTATATTAAATTCTGGAGAGGAATTATTTGCAGAAATTAGGTGAGTATTTTTATATTTTAATATGATACGTTTTACAAAGCTTTTTTAATTATAGAGACAAAAATTTTAATGGAGTAGGACCTGTCCTTAGTAAAAAAGCTAAAGTTATTTCATCACAATTTGATGAAAGACATGGAGATAAAAGTGTTCAAGAAATTAAACAATTTATAGCTCGTTTACCACATATGTTGGCTACTAAGCAATCATTAGCAAAACGTGAGTTTTTTTAAACTCTATTTAGATGTGATCAATTTTGTATACTCATTTTTATTTCATTTTTAGATACAACAATAGCAGAGATGATAAAAGAAGTAACAGATTCTAGTAGTTTCTTAGAATCATTGCAAATAGAGCAAGAGTTGTTGAATTGTATCGATACAGATAAACCAAACACTTTTATAGAAGATATGATAGTACAACAACAACCACTTTTAAAAATTTTACGGCTTCTTTGTATACAATCTTTAACAAATTCTGGACTTAAGCCAAAATTATTGGATTATTATAAAAGAGAAATAATACACACGTATGGATATCATAATTTACCAACTATATTAAATTTAGAAAAAGCTGGATTATTAAAGCAACAACAATCTGCGCGTCAGTATGCAGTTTTACGAAAAGCACTAAGACTTACTGTTGAAGATGAAAGTGAAATTACACCAAAAGACATTAGTTATGTTCATTCTATATATGCACCACTAAGTGTTCGACTAGCAGAACAACTTGTACAACCAAATGGTTGGCAAGGTTTAAATGATGTGATGGGATTATTACCGGGTCCTACTATTAACATATCATCATCTGGAAGAAGTAAGAAGTATATGTAAAAAAAATGTTTTTGATTACATTGTAGGAGATGTATAAAATAATTTTTTTAGGAAATTCTATTACCAGCGAAGATTCTAATTCAGAACCACCAAAATTAATAATGGTGTTCTTTATTGGAGGATGTACATTTGCAGAAATTTCAGCACTGAGATTTCTATCTCAACAAGAAGATTGTAAGTAATATCATAAATCTATTATATTATTGACAATTAATATTTAAATATATAATATAATATATTTTGAGAAAAATTTCTATTTTCAGTAAACGTAGAATTTGTTGTCTGCACTACGAAACTAATAAATGGAAACACGTTCTTAATGTCATTAATGGAGAATCTGGAAAATATATAATGAAACAAAATTAAATATTTTATGTGTAATATAAATAGCTAATTACGTGATATTTATATATATTTTTTGAAAAATATGTGTAAATTCCTCTAATAGGCATATCCCCTAAGAAAGTATAGTAATACATGTACAATGTGATATAATTATTAATTTATGCCTATAGAAGTTTTTTATAAGCATTTCTTTGCATTATTCATATTATATATCGAATTATATATTTACAGCTAAAAAAAATCACTTTTATAATATGTACATTATAAATTAAGTATAATTGTATATAATACAAATAAATATTAATAACTTTTCTTGTATTGCAGATTGATGACAGCATAGTAAAATTTTTTAAAAATAATATTAAAAGTTATTCAAATTTTTAAATATATGTAAAGTATTAAATTTTATTTTGATAAGAAATAATTTTATTCGCACGTATATAAATTATATAAAATATATATGTTATTTATAAAAGAAAAACTACAAAATAAGTAGATTATAAAATATATTTCTACGTACCTAAAATGAGAAAGTATCAAAAATGAAATTGTATTATAATTAAACTCTACTTTTTATTTCTTACATATATTGAATATATAAAATTCAAATAACATCAAATTTGCATATTTCAATTTTTTTTTAATCAATATCGCTTTATTAAGCAAAATTGGTAAAGAAGTAGCTCTTTATTACCGGTAATATTTCCTAGTTTAGTACTTGACCAATGTAAAGCGCCACTCACCGTCGACGGAGAATTCGCCTGCTGTGTAGAGTACACCCAGACTAGACGAAAAGGCGTCAAAAAGTTTGCGAATTCTCGTGTGTCCGGCTGATAGTGGGTGCCGTATTGTTGCGTTACCGCGGATTGTCGCGTCTCGCGCGTGTGTGCGTACGTGCGTGACACGTACGAGGCGTGTACTTTTCCGGGGTGCGGTGCGTTTGCACAATAAAAAATTGTGATCCTCGGATCTTAATATGCTCGAAGGATCGGCCAAGTTCAGGAAAAAGAGGTGCTCCGCCTGAAGAGAGTGCTTGGAGCTGCGCGCATGCTTCTGTGCCTGCTCCTTCGCCATTTTGGAGGTGAATATCATTTTTTTCTTTGTTGCCGGAGTTTTTGATAAATTTCAGTTGATACACCGAGATCTGGCTATAATGTCGTACATCCGATCCAAACACGGCAAGCCTTTTTGGCTACACCGACAATATCCCTCTACTGTATTTGCGGGACCAATCTGACGCGATTGCTTCGAGTCAGAGACCCAACCCTCCTTACGCCCGCATTTCTGCCTCCTGCGAATTTCACTCGACCGCCTTCTTTGCTTACCAACCCCAGTTTTACTATTATTTTGATTCCTTTCGCCAAAATGCTTGCTTTCTAAGAGTTTCACGTACTATTGATAGTATTCAATTCGATCTTCTTTGCGGATCTTCCGTTCAAAAACATATGATATTTATTAAAGTCAAATGAGTTACCACGGATAGAATGGTGTGTTTCGTATCGAGGACCGCGTGATAAGTGTCAAGCACATTTTAATTACACAGGAATACATTTCATAGTGAAAAAAATATCTTTAATTGTATTCTCTGTATTCTGTAAATTTACATATTTATATTTGTTGAATATTTGTTTGCCATCGAGCTTATTAAGAGATTTTCTGCTGTTAATGTATTATAAAAAATTAAATTAGACGAAATGTAAATGAAGGTATGCAAATCACTGTGTATCATAGGGCACATAGTTATTATGCGTTATACGAGTATTTATTTAGCGAAAAACAACTCAATTTATATTATGTAGGTTTGTAGAAATATCAAGAACTTTTTTGAATTTTTAATGAAAAATATTAATTTTATTTTGTTCATTTTATTTGTTATATTTTATATGAGTTATAATTTAATACTAAATGAGATTAAAGATCATTTTGTCTCTCTTTCTCTTATTCACTTTAAGTAAATTTATATTATAAAATAAATTAGTTCTTAATTATTAATTATCGAAGATAATACTAATATAATTTGTCTTTTTTCACAGATAGAATGTTAAATTTTGGAATGGACTGACAGAGGATTAAGTAACATTATAAAATTTAGGATAGAAGATTGAAAGACAAGGAGACGTTTAATAGTGTCTGAAATAGGCCTTGGCTATTTAATTATTAATATTTTACTATGCCAGCTGTTCCAAGGCCTGGTAGCCTTAAGGACCCAGAGATTGCTGAATTATTTGAAAAAAATGATCCGGAGAAAATATTTGAAGACTTGCGTGAAATCGGACATGGCAGTTTTGGGGCTGTTTATTATGCACGATGTTTGGTTACCAAAGAAATTGTTGCTATCAAAAAAATGTCATACGTGGGAAAGCAAACTGTTGAAAAGTGGCAGGATATCTTGAAAGAAATTCGATTTCTTAGGCAACTTAACCATCCTAATACAATAGAATATAAGGGCTGTTATCTCAGGGACCACACTGCCTGGGTATATTTTTTTAGAATTATTTTAATTAATGTTTTAAATAAATATATTCATAAATATATATATTCGTAATTAATCTCAATTACTAAATTATGTTGCATTAAATTCATTTTTTTAATTGTTAATGATAAATTTTGTAAATTGATTGTAGTTGGTAATGGAATATTGCCTTGGTTCAGCGTCAGACATTATTGAAGTTCATAAGAGACCATTAAAAGAAGATGAAATAGCTGCAATTTGTGAAGGTGTGCTACGTGGTTTGCATTATCTTCATTCTCTTGGAAGAATCCATCGCGATGTCAAAGCTGGAAATATTTTACTTACTGAAAATGGTACAGTAAAATTGGCAGATTTTGGATCAGCAAGCATAAAGTGTCCAGCAAATAGCTTTGTAGGAACTCCTTACTGGATGGCACCAGAAGTGATATTAGCTATGGATGAAGGACAATATGATGGAAAAGTGGATGTATGGTCTTTGGGAATAACATGTATTGAACTAGGTACCAAAATGTTTATTTAATTATTTATTTTCATTTCAAATTATCTAAAATTATATCAAAATATTTATTGGATCATGAAAATATTCATTGCAATTTCAGCGGAGCGGAAACCACCTTATTTTAATATGAATGCTATGAGTGCTCTATATCATATTGCTCAGAATGACACACCAACTTTAAATTCTCCAGACTGGTCAGATGTTTTTCGTCACTTCGTTGAAGTGTGTCTAACTAAAAGTCCAATTGAAAGGCCAGCCTCTGGTAAACTGTTATCAGTAAGTCTTTTATAGAAATTTTTATTTTGTTCGCAGTATATAAATTTTGTACTGCTTTACTGTTCAAGTTTCATATAAATAGATATACTGTAGTTTAGTTAGTTGTTTTCTTATAGGCTTTCAATTTTACAGCATCAATTTGTGACCAGAACACGTTCTCCGCAAGTTTTAATAGACTTAATTCAGAGAACAAAAGCTGCTGTTAGGGAATTGGATAATTTAAATTATCGGAAAATGAAGAAGATCTTAATGATCGATGCTTGTGAGACTGAAAGTACAGTTGGTGATGCTGATGGTATATTAAATTTTCAATTAAAATTTAATCATTTGAAATCGTATTCAGTTCTTTTATATTTATATTTTCATTTGTGTTTTATAGACACCCCTGATGAACAAACAGGTGGTGATAGTAGCAAGAGTAATTCAATTACCTCAGAGCATTCAATTCATTCAATGGGTGTTTCTGCAAGCTCTCAAAGTTCCTCCACTAATAGCCTGCCACTGCCAAATGCTGATGCAAACGATTATTCCACGGGATCTGTACGAAATAGACATAAAATATCAGCAGGCGGTGTCACTGCCAATCTTCTTGAACATGGTGCCAACAATTTTGCAACAATTAGGACAACATCAATTGTAACTAAACAACAAAAAGAACATATGCAAGAAGAAATGCACGAACAAATGAGTGGATATAAACGAATGAGACGAGAACATCAAGGTGCTTTGGTAAGTGTTAATTTGAGTGCTCAAATATTATATAATAACATGTTCATAATTATTTAAATAGGTAAAGTTAGAAGAACGTTGTAAAATGGAAATGGAATCCCATAAACAATTACTAGATAAAGAATATGAAACTCTTTTGCAACAGTTTAGTAAAGAATTGGAAAAACTTCAATTGAGGCATTTGCAAGAATTAGAACGTAAACTTAAGCAAAACCAAAATGCTGAGAAAAAACTTCACAAAGAAATTACAAGCAGACAGGAAGCAGATCGCAAAGCACTGGAAGCACAACAAAAGAAAGATTACAAAGTAAGAAAATGAATATAACGTAATTATTATGTTTTATTTAAACAAATTCAAGAAAGTTAGCTTCATGCTTCCAGGATAATATTTTATGATTAGGGATATTTTGTTTTTCAAGGTTTACAAAGAAAGATGGAAAAAGGAGTTATCTCAAGATGAAGTTACACCGAAGCGACAACGAGATGCTACTCTTCAGAGTCACAAAGACAATTTACGACAAATGGAAGCGCAAGAAGAGCAACGGCTTGCAAGAGGGCAAAGAGAGTATCTTGATCTCGAAATTCGTAAATTCCGTAGAAAAAAGTTACTTGTTTTCCATAGTTTGGAGCAAGAACTACTTCGAGAAGTTAGTATGGTATTTTTTCTTTATTTGGTATGAATAACTTTTTCTTTTTAATTTTTTTGTCGACGACGTTATTAATTTACACATTTTTTAAAATATGTATTCTAAATATATTTCTCTTATACAGGAATTAAATAAGAGACAACAACAGTTAGAACAAGCACATAATATGTTATTACGACATCATGAAAAAACACAAGAACTTGAATATAGGCAACAAAGAGCTGTTCATACTCTTAGAGAAGATCAAGTTCATCGACAACATGCTACAGAACTTTCTAATCAGCAAGATTATATGCAAAGAGCTGAACGTGATTTACGTAAAAAACACGCATTGGAACTCAAACAACAGCCTAAGAGTCTTAAAGTAAGTAGTAGATTTTTAAAATCTATTAAAATTTAAAAATGCTAATACATACAATATTGAAAAATTAGTAAATTTTAAATCTTTTATAAATAAAGTTTTTTATTCTTTTTTACTATTTTAGCAAAAAGAAATGCAAATTCGAAAACAATTTAGAGAAACATGTAAAATACAAACACGACAATACAAGGCATTAAAAGCTCAAATATTACAAACAACAGCTAAAGAAGAACAAAAAGCTGTTATCAAAAAATTAAAAGAAGAACAAAGAAGGAAGTTAGCATTATTGGGTGATCAGTATGAACAAAGTATTGCTGAAATGCTCCAGAAACAAAGTATACGTTTAGATGAATCACAAGAAGTTGAATGCCATAATCTTAAGGTAAAATATTGCATTTATTTAAAAAAATTACAAAATTTTAAAACTTTTCCTTCAAAAGTTCTTGTTTGAGTATGAAAGAAATTTATGTTAAAAATTTTAAAACTTAATTTAAATGATACTTAAAATAAATACTAGAAGTATTAAGTATTAGAATTAAACCATTATAAATTTTAATAATTATTTTTTATGTGTTTTATAGGAAAGATTAAATTATGAATTGGAAATTTTAATGGCGTATCAATCTAAGAATAAAATGCAAGCTGAAGCGCAAAGAAATAGAGAACGTCGTGAATTAGAAGATCGAGTATCAGTTAGACGAGCTTTGCTTGAACAAAAAATGGAACTTGAAACTCAGGAATTTCTTCGTGAACGTAGTGAGCGAATACGTTTATTACATGAAAGACAGGAACGTGAATTACAGCAATTTGACGAGGAAAGTGCAAGAATAGGATTCAGGTATGTAATCTATAATTTAACTTTTATTTGATTAAATTTCATAAATGTTAACAGAATAGAAAAATGTTTTAATTGTTCATTTCTATATTTCTGTTTTTAAGTAATTAAATTTATATTAAGCTAATCACCCATTGCCATTTTATAAAATAGAGAAATAGATTTAAGAACTTTAAAAAGAAATATTGTAGATGTGCCTATATACATTTTTTTCAAATTATTGCAGTGCTCTGGCGATAGCTGAGGCATCAAAAGAATCTTATCCAGACGATGAAAGCCTTAGTGGCTCAATGTTAAGTCTGGCTCACAGTAATAGTTCTACATCCTTCCCCCCTAATAGTCTTTAATTTTAATCATAATCAATTAATAGAATATGTATGTATGTACGTTTGCCTGTAGTGAATGCATAACGAGCCTACCGATGTTTAATTCAATGATTTACATACATAGCAAAAGTTGGCTCGTTATATGCATCGACCCAAACCTAAGAGGTTTGTTAGGGTTGGGAATGTGTATTGGACTGAAATTAATGTAACAGCATATTTTTTAATTATCAAAATATGTCAATGTGATCTATCTGGAAAGAGAGCTTCATATTGAAGAAGAACTTAGATGCTTTTTGCAACGTTGTAATATTTATTAACCATATCCAAATATCTTGTGAACTAAATAGGATTAAAAAAAAGAAAAATCTTTTAAGTATCAGTCTCATCTACTATACTGAAAAATAAATCTTAATGTTCTTGGGCTTAAAATAAGCCAGCTATTATAGCATACAGAAAATTTTATATGCGACTACAGAAAATGTTTAGAGACATTTATTTATCAATATCTCGCAATTATAATAAAAACAGAAAAAAACAGTATAATCATAATGCTCGAATTATTATATATTTGATTTTGACTGATTGAAGATTTGAAATAAGAACAACACAGGAATAATATTTTCGGTAAGATTTTAACTTATCGGAGTCTAGTATTAAATAATCTTACTGATAATTGTATGTGTTGACTTTTGAAAACCTTATTTCAAGCTTTCAATGACACTTAGTCTGATTTAATAAAAACTGAGTGAGTCGATTTATTTATTTAATTGCATTTTTAGTGCAATTAAGATATTTACAAAGTGACAAACTAATGAAAAAATTTAGTTACAGTATCTTATGTTGTAATTATAATAATGCATTCATAATAGATAATATTTGTTATTTCAATGAAAAATTAATTTCTAAAATTAAAAGACATTTTTTTACTGTTTTATACAATTTGTTTTACATTACTAAGGAATGTCAATATCAAAAATTAAATTGATAATAAAATTATTGTTGAATTACCAAAATATGATGGTGTCCACTTCAAATTCCTTTCAACATTGAAATATATTTTTTTGACTTTAATTTGATATTATTGCATATAGAATCTTGATGCAAATTTTTGTCAAGTGTTTACATAATTACATTGGTTTCTTTTATTAAATACATAATGTATATTTTTTTAAAACATCATATTATTATATATTTAACATAAAAAATAAGGAATTTTATACATTGAAGAATATCTAAATTATTTATTTAAATAATAATGTTTGCATTTTTTAAAGAAAAGACAATGTGTTAAATAAATGTCATATTTAAAAATTTTATAAGTGTTTTAACTATATGTTTTGAAAATTTAATACTATTGTATTATTTTAATCTTATAATTATATTTTCAAATTATTAATGATTAACATGAATTTAATATTGTGTAATCCTATAATGTAGTGAGATTAGTTCACAAATTTTGAATTATAAAAAGACAAAAATAATTAAATATTTATTTTCTATTTTCAAAATTTGTTTCTAGAAAAAGAAAAAAAGAAATGGAAAATAATTTAAGTGATGTTTTTTAAATACTCATGTATACATATAGTGCTATAAATGTATACAAATAACATGTTAGAAATAAATATTCTTCTCATAGTAACAAATTTTTTATTATATTCAGGAAAAATAGAACATGTCAGGTTTCTTTGATTATATAAGTTTCTGATATTTCAATAGATCAAATAAAATATGTGATGTAAACAATATTATTTTATAAATATTTCTTAGCATATAATTCAATTTAATTTATGCATTTTTACAAAATAATACCAATGAAATTATCATTAATATATTATTATTATAAATGATATATTAACAGTAATATGAAAATGATATTTATTGTTACAATAACGACTCATTTGATTTTTCTTGGTCAGAAATTTATTAAATTATATATATTTTTTTTTGCCAAAATGAATTTTCAAATATTATTTTAGCTTATATGTTGCTTTTGGCATTACAAATTTTTTATATTAATTCTTCAGTTTGCAATAAAAGCACTTCTTTCATTGGTGATTACAATAGTATATAGTAATAGTATTATTGTTGCTTCTATTATCAACATTTCAGTTGTATTATATTATATTTTATTGTAATTGTCTAAATTGTCTAATTTTCATCCAGTACACATTCCAACATTGTACTTTATATTGTACCATCTAATTTGTTTCTTTTTTTCGTTTAATACATTTCCATGTGTTTTTTTTGTTTTATATATATGCATATATATATATATATGCATATATATATATGCATATATATATATATATATATCTTCATTTTCGCAAAATATTAACTCCAAATTCAGATGATTGTGACTATTCTATTTAATGATATTTAATTGATTATAATACTATTAATAATATCTTCCCTATAATGTAAGTAATGAAAATAATATTATTTTCATTAAATGTTTTCATTAATAATTGTTTTAAAAAAATTTATATAACATATAACATGTAGAGTTACATATTCAATATTTCAATACAATAAAAAACTTACATAAATATATCAATTTATATATTGCTATTTTTATAATAAAATGTTTCTTCTAAGTAAAAATAATTCTGAATTAATAAAAAATTTTAATTCTAAAATAATTTAATTTATATTGTTAATAATTTAAATTATATTATTTTCTAAAAATTGTTTTGCAAAATTAAAGGATCCTTAATGTAAAGGATAAACAATATTTGTTTAATATATTTTATCAATACTAAAAATATTATTTATTAATAACAACTATTTTAAAAAGTAAAACTTCCACGATACATAAATAGAATATATTATAAAAATTAAGAATGTGTTCAGTTACAGTAATAAAAATGATCAAAATAAATATAAGAAAAACATTTATATATTTATGTGTTCAAAATATTTAAAATGAAAATGGTCACAATCAACTGGATCATTTTTTTGTAATAATACAATATGTAAATATATACACACGTTTACCGTAGAAAAAATATAGCATTAATTGCAAGAAATGTAGCATTACATACTTGTATCTCGTATAAATTTTTCTTTTGACTACTCTTAGGAAAATACATAAATACAGTAGAGTCTTAATGAACTGCTATAATTGGTAATAAATAGTTTAGACCAATAGAGATATCCGTGTTATATTTTATGTTGTGATGAATAAATAAAATAAGTCATAATATGTTAGGCAAGTCCATAGGCAATCCATATATATTTTCATAAAATTATTATTATAGATTATACTTACCAATAAGAAATATTTTTACATTGTAGTTTATGTCATAAATACATTTTATTTAAGATAAATTACTTTAATATTGATTTGATAATTATACTAGATTTATTTTTAGAATAACTTTTATATTTTATGTAGTTAAAAGAAATTCGAATTATAATTTTAACATAAAAGTTATATTGTATGTAAAGAATTGATATTTGAATTTTTATAGGAATACAATTTATTAAAAATAATTCATGAAAAATAGAGAATTTAAACTACATATTTATATATGGATTTATAACAATTGTACCAAATTAAGGGAGTGAACAAGAAGGAAGTGATTTTATGCATCATTGAACTTAAAGTAAAAATTTATATATTTTAAATTATCCATGACTTGTAATAATATACACGAGAACAAAAACTTTTAGTTAATGATAATTTAAAAATTGTATTACATATTAGAAGCTAAAGTACCAATAAAAGTTTATTCTTTGATGATTTCAAATTTTATAGTTTGTCCAAAAGTCGAAAGTGTATATAACTATGGATTGCATAAAAGGACTAATATATTTTAAAATAAAATTAAATGTTATAAAATTGTAAATAAAGAATTTTTTGTATTTTATTTAAAACTAATATTATATGAAATTTTGAAAAATATATATATAGATCATACTAACTAAAATTTTATATAAAATAAGCAAATAATATCATATACTTTAATTATTATAAAAATTTTAATTATTAATATTAACGTTATTATTTCCTAATTATTTTGTTGTAAATGTCACACGGATTCTCTATAAGCCTGATTGTATGTATATATTAAAGGAAGAAGAGGAGAAACATGACTTTTTGGTCATGTGACTATTATTATAAAAAAATTGCTAAATATTAATTTAGAATATTATAATACTTTTTGTTGTTACTAGCATTTTGTAAATATCATTCACTATATATAATATTTTGAAATTGAATTTTAATTATAAAAAATAGGATTTAGTATAATAGAATTTATTGAATTCTCCAAAGCTATTAACTTGGTAATTTGAATTTAAAAGGTGATATACAAGATAGCAAATTATATAAATATAGGCGTGGCATATCAGTTATCAATTATTAATTAATATTTGTAATCAATATAAATATTTGATCTTTTTTCTCACCTATTTCCATCCATGTGTGATTTCTTAGTTTTGTCTATAGTTTTTATTATAGTATATTACTAATATTGAACTAAAATGTATAATATTTTTTCAAATCAATTTGAAAAAGAAAAAAGAGATTTAAGCATTATTTTTATATTATAATAAAACTAATAAAAGAACATTGCTTTTGTTAAGTGATAAATATACTGGTGAATATTCTAACATCTACCATATATAACTTTTGGCTTTAACTAGATAATAATTTTATTTTTTAGTAGTGGTATTTTTGAACATGAAAAAATGTATAATGTAATATGAGAAATATATTCATTGTTTAAGAATTGATCAAATTTCAGAAAATAGAGAAACAGTTCAGAGCACACATAGGTGGAGATTTAGGAGAGATTTTGTGGCAATATTTGTACACTTTATGTGATTAAAAAAATAAAATTGTATGTAGAGTTGATAGTATAAATTATCAATAAAAATTATAAATATTAGTGGAGGAATGGTAAATTACCAATCTGTCTTTCACTAAATAATGAATTAAACTTCTAGTATTATATTATATGAAGTTACTTTATCTTCTATTTACTGAAGATGTATGTATAATGTATTTGTAATATTATTATATAAATGCTGATTTTTATTAAAATTTCAATTCATAAGAATTAAATTACACTGTCAAGTATAATTTTTAATAATTTGATGTTATCAATAATGTAGTTAAACTTTTTACATTGTTTGATATTATGTTGTTTGTATTTTTCTTAATATGAAACATTATGCATAAATATAATATAAGACTAACAAATTGCAAAACGTTATTATTGATTTTAGTAGATTTTGCACAATATCAAAAATTAAATTTTAATAATTTTAATCAAATTATTCTATATCAAATGATTATGTATTATATAATACAATGTCTTTAATTATTAAAAGATAAGAGAAACTTGTTGAAGTTCATTGGATTAATAATTTAACTGTAACTTTAAAATGAAGACCAATGAAGATAATTTTGTGCACGGCAATGAAATTTGTATATTATCATTTAATCTGAAATTTAATCTGGAATTTAAAGCTACATTATTTGAAAATATTTTTTAATCTCATTATTTCAATTTTTTAAAATGTATTACACAATTTTAATATTACATTAAACAATATAACATTACATAATTTAAAGTTGTTATTTTGATAAATATTTTATATACCAAATTTATTTTTAATTTTTAAAATTAAAATCAATTAAGATAAAATTCTCTGATATATAATAATGACATAGAATGTTGATATAAAAATTACTTGACATTGAATAATTAGATGTCAAAATTTTTATATTGATACAGAATTTTACTTTCATTTATTTTACTCTCTTTTACAAAGCAATATCTTTGTCAATATCTTGTATATATATATTTGTATATTGTAAATATTCTTATAAAGATTTCATTGATATTTATTTCTATGTTTTGAAGATATTTTCTGTTTTCAATATCATTGAACATACAAGTTTTCCAATGTTGCGTCATTCTTTATTGTAAAAAAATTTACTGTATTTGAATTCCACTTCATTTTTTACTTTTTCTATTTTTGAAACGCATCAGCATTATAAAAATAAAAATCATAAAAAATTTTAAAAACAATTCAAATTAAATTTTTGTATTATATGATATTTCATACAATGTACATTAATGCAATAACTTTTAATAAAATGTACGTTGTAGATCATAAGATAATTATTTCATTTCATTGGCTCTATATTTTAAAATATGTTTAAAAATATGTTTAAAAATACCGTAAAAATACATAATGATATTTTCTATCTTCCATACTTGATACATTAAATAGAAGTAAAAATTGTTTTTAAAAATAATATAATAAAAGTTTAAGCAATACTGAAGTATTTTATTAATCACTAATTGCATTAATGAATGATAAAAGAATACAAAATGTGCTCATGTAAAACATTCTTTTCTAATGTAAAATAGTCTAATTATCAATAATATTCGATATTACAATGACAATTATTATTTTATATTTTATATATATATATATATATATATATAAAGTTTATTTATAATTAATAAAGTTTAAAGACTAATATCTTTATAAGGAAAATATAGTAAAATTAAACATAAAATGCAAGATCTGTAATTAGCCTTTATTTGTAATAATAATTTCCATTTCCATTTTTATATAAATTAATATATTTTTTAAATCATACAACTAGAGAGAAAGATATGTTTATCACTTAAACAGTTCAAATTGATTAAACTTGATATATTGATTAGATAATAAAAATAAACAATGTTTAGTAATTATTCGTATTTTGTAACCTTTCCACCTTTTTTATTATGAATTATTTAAATGAATAAAGTAGTAAAAAAGAATTTTAGTAAAAAGGGATATAAATTTTCAAAGATACAACGATCAATATATTCATCAACGTGTAAATATATTTAAATTGACAATAAAACTACATCATAAAGCGTTAGAATAACAAAGAAGTTTAAATTTTATTAAAATACATTTTAGTAATTGCAATACAACAAAATGCTACAATTAATTTCATATTGAGCGCTTACTTTATACAGTTATAAACGTAATGTGTAATATAACAAATATTTTTACAATATGTAAACAAAGAATAAATTGTATTATACAAATGCATAGATCTGTGAATATAAAATTTTATTTTGTTGGCGAAAAGCTAGTTGGACTTAATATACGAGAATATGTTTCTCTGATTAATGGTACAGTATATGCAACACATTCATCCCATCCTGGAGATCTCCATGCACTTTCACGAGTTTCCATTCGTGCTTGAAGATTTTTGTAGCCTAAAAATTAAATTAGCTTTGTATGTTTAAACATAAACATATAAAAAATATATACATATGTATCATGTAGTTCATATTGTTAATCTAATACATAAGAAATAAATAGATATTATCATTGACACCTACACCAAATATGATGGACATTATATAATCTACCAATTTGTGAAAAGAAGCCAGCAAACGGTTCATTGTTGTTACGTCTATAATTGATAGCTTTTGCCCAGTTATTGCCCCATTCTATCATAGTACCAGGCTGCAGTCTATAACTACGTATTTCATATATATTTGAACCATTTCGTTTTGTAAGAGGAGGCCAATAACTAAATGCCAATAAATATTGTAAATAACGTGATCGCAGATAATTGCCATTTTCTTTGAATAACTGTTGATATGCCTAAAAGGAAGTAGCATTATATAATATCATAAAATACTTATTTTATATTATTGTATATAAATATATCTTTTAATTCTCATACTTTGTCTTTAGACAACTCAACTTGTGTGCGATCAACGCTATCATAACCACCAGAATACCGCCACAGATGTAAAGCTTGATCGATATCACCAGCCAAGACAGTCCATGAACCAACAAGTTCCAATTTCAATTCAGACTTCTTAGTGTTTATAATGTTAACAATTTCTTCACTGTAATATCCCAAAATACAAACATGTCCCAATATAATTTTCCTAATATAAATAATTCTCTGTGCATGCCAATTCTGCGACATAAACAAAATCTAATATTTTTTTGAAACTTCAGAAATGTATTTGGAAAGAATTTTTGTGCATGTGTTCTAAATGTGATTACGATTTAAACCCATTACTTGACACTAAGGACAAAAAATATAAATAAAGTTCACTTACTAATTGGCCAAATATTTATCAATGGAATCAGGTCGAATATTGTGCGTGTGCAAGGCGTAAATAACTCCTTTATCTGACAGCATCCTTGAATGAGATTCTTTGGTTGGCTCGATCTTTCTTACGAAAAGCTTGTTTATCCATCCTTCGCTGATATTCTGTCGGATCGATGACCTTGCAAAATATCTACAACACACACGATGTGGCTATTGCCCTAAAAAGCCGCCTTTTAGATATTAGTTCGCGTAGACTATACACGAAACATATGAAAAAAGGCCTCCTCAAGATTTTGCAGTCGTGATCGCCTACCGGCTGGTAACAAATGACGGTAGTTTATTGCCGATCACCGTGATCTGTGCGGCTTTGAATCTTCTCAGAACGGCAGCCATTCTTACTGGATCCTCGCGTACAGATCTCTTCTGGTTTGTATCCAATCAAGATCAAAGCCCAATTTCGACAGTGCTGCAACTAAATACGCGGCGCTTTCAATTACATCCTCGGAGAAACCGATCGGTACTGTTGGTCTACTCTTATTTATCTCCATCCGCGATTTCTTCTCCTCACGTGAAATAACACTTACAACAGTGAAAAATACACTTGTCTGATAAACTGTGGAATTTAGTGTCACAGCGCTTGCGTCTTTTAAAAAATATTTTATTCTTGTTGCAGCAATGATGTCAAAATACTATTCCGAATGTATTATATATGTTCCATTCGAATTTATCTTTCCTGATTAAACTATATAATAACTTGAAATAATGATATTTGACACGAAAAGAAAATTGGAACTGAAATATTGTAATTTCAGCTGTAAGATAAATGTAATTTAAATTTTATGAAAGATGGAAAAAATAAAAGAATAAAAATATAAGTTAATGTTTAAAAATGAAAAGATTTATAAATAGTAAGTAAATTATAAAATTTAAAATTTTTTAAAAAATTTTATAATTTACTTACTTTTTAAAAAATTATAAATTATAAAATTTTAAATTTTAATATTCATGCAATAAATATTAGATATTCCGTATTAATTTGAGGAAACGTACTAAAAATATTCTAATATTGTAAAAATATTGTAAATTTGTGTTCATATTGCAAAATACAAATTTATTATGTGGTACATAAATTTATTTATTTTCAAGAGAAGTAAATAATACATGTGTGGATAGGTATTATTTATTAATTGTAATATTAGAATATTAATTGTAGATTTACAGATTTTTATTTGTTACTTTTTTTAACAATTTTTTAACATATTATACATATCTTTTTTAAATCTGTATAGTATAATATATCATGATACATTATAGGTCTTCATTGCTAATCATTATATTTATTTTCGTTTGATAATATTTTTGACGTTTATGTACAACTCACAATGTTATGTACAACGTTGAAATGTTATGTCCTAACCTTGAAAAGTTTAGATTAGGTTAGATTAATTCGAACTCTTTACATGGGATATGTATTAGACTAAACAATAATATTGTCAATTATATTGATTTATAATTATATTAATGAACAATAATAAGTTAATATGTGGTAAAATGTTGATTAAATTTTTTCATTTTTTGATGTGACATCAAACATTTGTTGTACTCTTAGTATGTAATTTTTTTATTATTCAAGTTTAATGTAGTGTTGTGTAATTTAATGCCTTGTATTAATAAATTAAAAAAATGGATGCAGAAGTTATAGAGCACTTTTATGGCGTATATTTGTTATATTGTATGAATCCAAAATATAAGGGAAGAACATATATAGGATATACAGTTGATCCTTGTCGTAGACTTAAAAAACATAATGCTGGGAAAAAGTATGGAGGTGCATGGAAAACAAGTAATAGAGGACCGTGGTAATTAAACAATTATTACAAATCATAAAGTACATCACTTTATTGTGTCAATTGTGTATAACTTTATAAAAAAAATAATTTGTTTTCTTTTTTAGGAATATGGTGTTAATTATACATGGCTTTCCAAGTAGTACGGCTGCACTTAGAGTATGTTTATTCAATTCCATAAAAAAAAGAACTATGTAGTACTTTCATCAATTATTTTTGTATTTGGAACTTAATTTATTTTTGTTTCTAGTTTGAATGGGCTTGGCAACATCCTCATGTTAGTCGGCGTTTAAAACATATACCTAAGAAGAAATCACAGCAGAGAGTGTTTGAATTTTGCTTATTAGTTCTGTCAGAAATGTTAAAAGTTGGACCTTGGTGTCGTTTACCTTTAACAATCCGTTGGTTAGATTATGAATTTTTCGACAAGTATTCTAGTTATGTTTCAGCTCCAATGCATATGCCTATATGTCATGGAAGAGTAATTTCTAAAAAGATTAAAAAAACAAATGATATAGTAGAAACACTAGATAAATTGTCTATAATCTGTTTTATTTGTAATGCACTTTTAGAAGAGAAAGAAGCAGTTAGCTGCATAAAACCTAGTTGTTCGTTAGTAGCTCATTTAATTTGTTTAGCACAATTATTTTGTAAAGATAACATGATTTTACCGATTGAAGGTATTTGTCCTGTTTGTAATACCAATGTTTTATGGGGGGACTTAATCAGGAAAAAGATTGGTTGTTATGAAAATTTACAAGAAGTTTCTTCTAGCGATGAAGATTGTACTTAACATATTAATTGTACTTTTTTAATTGTCTACAGTTTTAGCAATGTATATGGTAACAATGTGTGTCAACAATGTAAAATTATTTAATTACTACTATTTTTAATCTATATATAAAAGACAGTTTGTAAATAAAATCATCATTGTATTTTTATTATGTGTAAATACACAATTAAGTTAATAAACTACTAACAAGATAGATTGTTGCGATATTACGCAGTTTATTACAGTTAATAAAAATTGAAGTTCGCAAAATTTCATTGCTTATTTGTTGAATAGATATAAGCAGTTGTTAAAATATTTAATTTTTTATAAACTATATACAAAATTTGGAAAATTGAATGTCGATACATTTAAAAGCGTTAGCTTCGAAATATATTCGCATAGAATGCAAATTAATCGTATAAAAACGTAAAATTTATTATAATTTTTAATTTCGGCATAAAAGTATTCGATATCTATTGAGTAGAATTTATAAATCTTTTTACATCTATTTTGTATGTCAAATGAAATATAGAAAGGAAACTTAGGATCTAATTGCTAAAATGCAATTACAAGATCATAAGTTAATCTTCTTAAATAGCTTTTTTGGCAAAAAGAAAATTGATTTTTGATCCTTCCAATTTACGCATTTTATATTTTCAAAAATGTGCGCGCAATGATTCTAACTTTAGCAAAGACTACAGCGCCAACAAAACGGTGGAATTTCGTAATTATGTACTCAAATATAATCGATGTTTCTCGTTATCGATCTAATCGATCTAATCAATCTAATATTGATATGTAACGTAATACCGTCAGTTTTAGGCGGGAATGTGACAGAGAACGTAGCAAGAAATTGCTCATCCAGAAATTGTCAAGTAAAAGCTATCGGTAAGACTTATTTTTCCATTATCGAATACATTTACAATTTAAAATAGTAAGCATTATTTAAAAGAGTTATTACATATTTGTATTCAATCATGACCGTTATTTGTTACAGATATTTCCCACCGGATTTAATGGTTTCTATTTAGTGATATTCTGTGGGCTATGACTACATACGTCGTTCCTCGTATCTAATTGTAAGTCGCATATATTTTTGTTTTTCTGGTCATTAAATTATGATTGTTTAAATTATGATGAACAATAGTAAAAATAATAGTTTCAAAAGTGAAAGGAACGTTTGTACTGGCGTGTTGAATCAAAAAGGCGTATCTGCAACTTTCGTTCAAATCAAGTCATTAATGCCAAGTAATACAAAAATAGTTTATCTATATTATTGTTTGATTGTTAGATACTAAACTTGTCTTTTTTGTAAAGTCATATGTCAAACTACCTTCTGAACAGACACGCCTATTTGAATATGACAGTATTCAATGGAATGCATTAAAATTGAAAAACATTAAAATATAAATTTCGCGTGAAGTCAAGTTGATAGACAAAATTGATAGACAAAGTACAGTATAGACGTCTTATGAAAGTTCGTGTCACACATTCTGAAATACCGACATAATAAATAGATTATTGGCACAGGCACAGATGAGATATATGATTAGATATTGCACCTTACGGATTTTCGTGGCCCGTGACCTGACATACCGACATACCGACATACTAAAAAAAAATCACTGGCTTTTTAGCGCACTCTACGTTTAAACAACGGTGAGTTGGGGAACTAGTGAATGCGCCAGCAATATGATTTTTGAGACCCATTACAGTATTGTCAAACTTTCAATACTGAAATGTAAAGCTCGTCTATACCAAGTAAAATGATACAAGCAAAATGTTTAATTGTATCTCCAGATACCAAAACACGAGATTAGTATCTAAAATTATTCCATTTTTTATTATGTATTTGTGTCTGTGTCGAAAAGCGCTCTATTCGTATTTTACGAATTCATCGATTGGTTTTTCGTTCGAAACGATAAAATTAATACTTAAGGATGTTCTATTTATTGAAATATACTTAGGGACGAAATATATTTAGAATGGACCTGATATTTAATCAAAAAAGGAGACATAGAATAGACTTATTGCATTTTATCAAATCACATGTTTTGAAATATCCATGAAAAATCCATTAAAGATCCAAGGTTTTCTATGATATTTAAAAATGCACTATACGTTACACGTCATCATAAAAAAATTCAATCTATAATTTTAGAAATCAACGATCTTAAGTATTAACTCAATAGCAAAAAAACGAAACCATACGACTCACTTTGGTTTTCGATCTCAGGATTGTAAAACGAGATTTAATTGCGTTGGACTTGATAATGAGAGAAAACGCAAAAACATGCGTACTTTAAAATAACTCTTTATTGAAATAACTTTTTACAAACATCGAAGCTTACATTCTATGCAATTATAATATGTATATGTTAAGAGGAAAAGATATAAATTTCGTGCATATATGTTGCATTTGCCTTTTCTTTTGCCTGAGGAGTAATTATACTAATCGGCAAAGTAATTATACAAATCGGCAAAGTACAAAGATTGATTATACTAATCAATCAAGCAGTAAAAAGTAACGCTCTTTTTATCTTATTTATACTTTATTATTTTCTATAATTTGAACAATAGTTTGAATAACTGTTTCATAATAATATATTTAAGAATACACACATATTGTCGAAGATATATGCAGAATTCTGTACTTTAGTTTACTGAAATTTCAATTTTCAATGCCTACATTAGAATGTTAAAAGAGTTTTAGAGCCTCCGAATGAGAAAAATACATTGAGTAATAAATTTATTCTATGTCTCGTGTATATTAACTACTATCAACAACTCGGTTTTAAAAAATTATAATAATAAAAGATAATGCTATTTTGTACATATAAGCATTTCACAGATTTGTGTCGTTCATTGATGTTAAATGTCTCCATTCTGAGGAACAAAATTTCATACTCGTATTTTCTAGCTGAAAAAAGTATTATTCATTATCTCATTTACATAACTAGGACTATATGTCTGCAAGAAAGCAACAAATCATATATATATATATATATATATTTATCAGTCTTTATTTGTAACTAATCGACAGGTCAAAATATATTTGTATTATATTATATATATATTTGTGTATGAGTGTGTGTGTGTGTGCGCGTGCGCGCGCGCGCGTGTGTATTTTGTTTAGAGACATAACATTATTCGACAGGGAGGGAGACAAGAAAATTCCTCTGTTTCATTGATACGTAATTACAATCGCAATTAAATTGAAAATTCAAATCAAGACCAGCTTGATCCTTTTGTGCGAGCTTGCTTACATCGAAACTGAAACACCGTGAAACGATGATCATTTCCGAGATTTCAATTAACAACGTACATTCCTTGTGCGCACCACGATCGCATCAACAAGCATCTAGGTTTCTAATTTCGAATTTTTTTTTTTTCTTTTTTTTCACCTTAAGTTCGCTGTCAAGTGCATCTAGAGTTTTTATTTCAACTCACTACACGAGGCCACGGAATATCCGAAACGTGCAACCTCGGGGCGTGTGGCAACATTGTTTCATTTGTTCTTTCTCTCTTTGAAAATTCAGAATCGCGTATACTTGTACTCGAGATCGAACGATTACTCGAACGTTTGTTCTCGAAAGGAACGCAAGTGTGTTGTGAGGTTCAGGCACATTGACGTTCAAGAACACACAGCGAGGGTAGAAACTGGAAGATACGAAGGAAATACCAAAACGGAAGTAGAATAAATAGTAAGAGGACAAAAGGAGGAAAGAGAGGTCGAGCTGCTCGGTTCACATTCGATAATTCCTATGAATATCATTAATTCATCTTTACCCGCTTTGAATCAGCGTTGAGTTTTATACGCGAGCACGCGTTAAAACTGCTTGAAACGAAATTTCAAATCACCTGGTAAATGGATTTTTAAATTCGCAATAGTCGTTTAACAACGGATGAAAATCACAACAGTCGATGAAACGTATTATACAAACTGTAACCTAAACGAAGTTAGTAGGATGAAAATTTATTTTATGCGAAACTTACTCGTCGAGTAATTAACATTACTTCCTACCACGTTGCAACGTCAATACAAACGACAAAACCGTTGAGAAACTCAATGATCGAGAGGCTCAACGCTGTCTGTAGAATCCTAGATCGTGGATTCGAATGTGCAAGTTCGAAGATAAAAAATAAACGACACCGCCGATCCTCTTAGCCTTCCAGTTTGTCCACTTCCCTTTGCGTACAATCGTACGCACATGAAAAAATTGCACGGAACACGACTCCCTCGTTGGCTACTTCTAGTATTGATATTCCTCTTCCCTTTCTCTCTGTTTAATTTAACTTGGTAGCCTCGTGAGGTAGCACAACTCTTTTGGTGAGACTCGGCATCGTGACGTAATTCGGCGAATTATTATCCACGTCGTGATCCTGGGACAATTCCGGGCATTCCGAGGTCGGCGACGTCAGGCATTCGTGGATGAAACTACAAACTGTATTCACGTAGGCGTCACGATAAGTGGCATAGTGCTTGACGTGAGGGGAATTCGTGAAAAGCACCAGCTGCACTCGTACGCCACGTTCTGCACGTCGGCTGGCGAATTTTTCGACATCCTTGAAACACGGGCAACGGATTGTTACATAAATTTACGCAAGAGAATGAAACAAACAGGTGTACGGGCAGTTTATTTAGTAGATTTTCGGAACTAATTTTAGAACTAACTAGGATATAGAATATACGTACTGATGCCGGAATCAAAGTATCAGCGTTCGAGTAAAGAAACAATTGGGGCCAAGAATAGGACTCCTCTGCAAGACCGATCGGATTCGTTTGCACTGGATAACCACGTCCAAGAGCGTGAGCGATCACCTAAATAATCGATTAGTTTTAGCATTCGAATATATAACTATTTCACCGTCATTGATTGGTATTTCAAACATCTATTTATAAATTCAATCGTTCCCGACGAACGGAACAAAGGAAACTCGATATTATTTACCAACAAATTAATAAAAAGTGTTCTCAATTTGAAATTGAATATATAAAGGAATCACTGCAACAGATCTTCAAATTTAAATTAGAAATAGTAATATCACAGAAATAGATTCGACATAGCGGAACGAAGTTCGAAATATAGCTGGACGAAGGATTTTTATACTTTTGCGAAAGCAAAAAACGATGAAACTGAATGATATACTATCTCGTACATTTCCGTTTGTCTAAAGATAAAAGTCCCCGTAATGTAATAGTGTCTTTATTAATACCTCTAAGAACCAGAGTATCGAGAGGAAGATCGTAATGAAGAAGGACATCGGTATGTTCGTAAGCGGATGTCCTCCGATGATTGCACTGATCGCCTTGAAAAGAGTAGTTAACCTTCTTTCTCCTGGCGCGCTATCGAATATCACTCCTTTGACCTATAATTTCAAGATATGTTAATGCACATCACGTGAAAACAATAACGGGCGAAGGGTGAAACGTTTGAAAGGTGAAAGGTGAACTGTATTTTTTTACCTTAAGCGGCGAGTTAGCTTGTTGCATGGCAAGGCTTACATGTTGATAGAGAAACGCGCCACCGTTACTGAAGACGTGGAAGAATATCGGGTGTTGATCTAAACTCTTGTCTGTGATCACCTGGATCAATCGTTTGCCAATGTAAGGCATCTTATCTCTTCGCCAAAACAGACATTCCACCGGTGCCGTGTATCGTAACGTGATGCAGCTTGCAACAAGAAATGAACATTGTTTATCGGTGTGTGTTAAATAATTTGAAATTTCTATTATATAGAAAAACAATGAACGTATTTTCTACTGTTAGTAATAACATCACTAACAACAATGCATTGCATTTGTAATAAAACATTGAATCATCAATTAATAGCGGTGTACTATGGCAGTACGATAATGCGAAATAAAAATTCGAATAACTCCGATTGTTATCGATTAGATAAACAGTATCGTAGCACGATTTGCCGGCATTTTCCACCACATCAACTTAACAACTCCATCAACTCCGTGCCACTCAATTTCACATTTTCCCTTCAAATTTTCTCGCGTACGCACACATATGTATGTCCATCGTCCTTCAACCCTCACTTGTCAAATCGTTATTGTCACGCACTCGTCATTGGAGAATATGTCACCGCGTGAAAAGCTATTATTTACAATATCATATCCTCAACTTTCAGTCGTGTCGAAGAATAAAAAGGAAAAGCAAGGGATGAACGTATTAACGAAGCGAAAGTTTAAGCGTGCGAAGTCTGGCGAGACATCGTTACCTCTTCTCTTCGTAAATCGCGCTGTACTTGGCCAGATATTTGTCTTGACAGCCGGCCCATCCTAGCAACACTATCACCGGTCGTTTGTCCTCCTTGTAAACGAACACGAACTCCTCGCGTTGATCCTGGCTGCCGGTGGTTAACGTTGGATCCTTCGGGGACGGCGGAAACGACGGGAACATGATGTAGTAGTCGAGGTCCTCTTGATCGCTCATCTTTCCGTCCTCCTTTCCGCGAGGATGCGAGAGAAAGAGGGAGAGAAAGAAACAGTGAGGGCGAGGGGAACTGCGAGAGTACGGGGCGAAGGACGAAGAAGGCGAGAGGGTGAGAGGGAGGAGAAGGCTCGCAGAGGCAACGAAAGGGAGGACAAATCACCCCCCTCTGTCGCGAATGGATCCTCCGTTCCGAGTCGAGCTTGCGTGGTCGTGGTCGCTGTCGAGAGTACCGAACTGCCGGAGGATCGATACTCAAAGGCTTGTATAGTTGTATGCCAGAGCTAGGCGTCACGAACGAGGACGTCGACGTTTCAACGCTGGCCGTGGACGACTCTTTACGCCGAGGGTGTGTTTTCTTTTTCCTTCGGGATGTCACCGTCCACCGGACGGCTTTGGTTAACCGAATCTTTGCTGATCGATAGCGAATATCGACTTCGGTCGATGTGCTTCGTACTGTACGACAGACGGTAATAGACTATCGGGACTGATATCAAAGTTCATGCTGCGAGCGTCACGTTATACGTATGCGAATAATTTTATGATAATACTAATGATAGTAATAATGATTTGTATGTAACATAACGTGTAATGATGTCGAGTAAATGTTTAAACGATCGAAGTCAGAAATTTGCATTGTATCAGGATGTTTTAGACGTATGTGTTTTAGGGAAAAGAATTTTATAGTCATATATACACATTAAATCTGAATATAAAAAATGAAGTTTTATATTCAAAACAGGTTCGATGGAATTGATTTATTTTTATTCTTGTTTTTACATAGTATCATTATACTGGTTAATAGGAGAATAGGAATCTAAAAAATTCCGTTTAAGCGTTCAAGTTAGAGAAATGGGACACAAATGAGGATAACACTCATATCTCTAAATGTAACAAGTTATTTTGTTCACATAATTTTCCATGAAAATTATGTATTTGCTGAGCGAGTAAAACTTCACTTCAACATAGCGAGACTTTAACTGAACAAAATTCTGCGTATTTATTTTAAAGAATGTTATTTTAAAGTGTTGACAGAGACGTATGTGATCTATTGGATTAAAAGGGTTAATCATAACAACTCTGATTATGTGTTATCTATATATTTTTTTTTTAGGAAACATTTTAGAATTTAGAATTTGATATTTATTTTCTAGTTAAATGTTTTGAACTTTCTCTGAGAAATGTATGCGTGTACGTATAATGATCCATTAGGATTAAAAGGGTAGACTGTTTACAATTCTTCCAATGGGATCGTGCTTGTTCCCGTATTCACAGAACTGATCATATATTAGTAATCTTCAATATGGTTGCACTGAGACCTCTTGTCATTAGTATTAGTATTACGTATATTTAAATACGAATGCATACATTAATATTTATTAGTGTTATGTAAGTGCTTAGTACGCCTCTCTGAAAATGAATTATTTTTGTATATGTAATAAAACATTCTTCGTAATTTATTTTGAGAATTTTTTTAGGGATCGCGCACACTTCTAAAATTAGTACGGGGGGAAAGGAAAAGATTTGATTCTCCTGGTGACCGAATGATTTTTTTAGTATCACTTATTATATTAGTAATATTGCTAAAAAATATATTTACTGATGAATATCTTTAGTTTGTTATAGTAGTCCTTAAAATTACTGTAAAATGTTGTAATTATTAAAAACATGGAAATTAGTTAAAATAAAAGAGGTACATATTATGAAATTAGGCTTTATTAGGAATTAGTTACAGAATTTTAGAACTTTGAACTTTTAATAAGTAAGGGTAAAAATTTTTTTAATAAAAGAAGGGTATAAGAAAATTTCTATATTTCCGACAAGTGAGCTTATTAAAGAAGAATTATTTAATTTATTTAATTTATTTTAAAGAAAACTTTAAATTTTTGATAGATAAGGCTTAAGAAAACTTCTGGACTTTCAATAGATAGAGTTTATGAAGAAATTGTTTAATTTTTATTATGCATACGGGCATACAGGTCCAATAAATAATTTTAATTAGGTTTTAATTAAATTATTTTGTAAGTTTATTTCAAAAATTTAAAATAATTTGATATTAATATAGATTTTATAAAGGTAAACAGAATACTTTAAAATTATGTTCAATTTATAATTAGGATATTTTTAAACTAACAATAAATTAGATTTCTGCTACATACAGACGAGGTATATATTTTAGAAATCTGTACAATTAGTGTGCTTAATATTTAAATTCTGGAAGATAATTACATATGTATGTAAGTTTTATTACGCCCAGATGCATACACGCGTATACATAAGCATAGAATGTACTGACTTTTTATGTCGGTATATTAGAGCATGGAACAAAGTCTCATAAGATGCGAAGTCTATTCATGTACCTTGTCTGTGCATCTACGTTATCAGTCAAGTTGTCGGTATAGAAGAAATTTTCAAATTATTTCAAATTCGAAAACATCCTTTTTGTTTATCGCAACATATTATTAGGCACTTATTATGCTAAGACTCGACGTTATCAAATAATTTCTTAAAGAAACAGTATATTAGTTTCTACTTTTCCTGTGGGTATGAAAGAACACGTTTAGAAAGTGGTGTCCTCTGTTCGGATCCAGTTTATCCGGAATATTGTCAGCGGGCAGGCGCTGGACCGTTTTCTGAGGCTGCGTGCGGGATGAAGAGCGAAAGACAGAGAAAGACCGAGATTCAAACTCGAAATCTAACGAGGAACTCTCAGAGCCACGAGAGTGGCCGCGCGATACGGCACGGGTGTTTGAAAACAGCCGATAACAGTGTAACATCGCGCCATGTGTACCGAGAAAAGTGCGAATTTTCTGTGGCTTCTTTGTTCCATAACGCTCATATATGGATTTGTTCTTCCATACGGTGAGTAAATTCGGATTAAATTCGACGGAAATTTCATTTTCCCGGGGTTGTCATTGAAAGATTATGCCACCCTTCTCAGTAACACAGGCAGTGATTGTTCAGTGTCGTCAAATGTTTTATTTTTTTTTTCCTCTTCACGGTGGACGCATTACGTTCGTTTATGATTTATGAAAACGACGTGAGATTCGTGAGATTAAAAGCATTTTGATTACAAGAACACAGAAATAGAAATATTGAAATTTTTAATGGGGAAAGAAATAGGAGTTGCGTAAGAATTTGTTCGATCATGTTTACCCGATAAAATGGTTTTGGTACGAGTGCTAGACTGTTGGTGAGTTTTTTGAATTGAAGATTTTGTTCGAACATTAAGTTGACTGTTGTTTTGAAATGTTTTCTTTCGAGATAAATGTTTATTTAAGACAGTGCTTCTTGCAGAAATGAGAAACAGATATTTTTGGGTATAAAAGAAAAATCTGCTTTATATCATACATTTTAATAAATGTTCATTTACTTCACATTTTTATATTTATATTTCTGCGATAAGAAGTGAACAAATAGTAACAAGATTTTTCAAATTTCATTTTATTTTCGTTTCGAATTGACATGCAACGACACTATTGGCATGCATAACGTACTAAATAAATCGATCGAAACTTTAATAATTAATAAATTTCCAGTTCTGAAATAACAAATTTACTTTCCGCGTAAGGTAACTTTTTTCAACTATACGAACAAATGAAAAACGGACGAAATGCAAACGTGCAGAACAGAAATTGCCAGATGACTACGTTAGTTTGTCAATTAACGCGATGAACAAAGCTGACGTTTAATTATGAAACAATATCGCGTCCCGTGTTTCATTCATTCGTTCCTCGAACGGCGTCGTTTATGGTGTCAAACAAGGTTCTCTTTTCAAGGGCCGAGCGATTCTCTGTCTTTGAAATCGTGTAGCTTCAATTTCTATCGCTTGTTGAAAGTAACGCAAATAACGGAATATAATCATAAGATAATCAACTTTTTCGCGCGAATTTTTCGTGGAAATGATCGCGCTATCGTGGGATTACAAAGAATTATAGTAATTTGTAGGTATTATATTACAAAAATTCAAGATATTTCATTTTATTTTGTATCTTATATTATACCTGCTAGAGATTAATCATGAAACTAAATTAAATTAAAAACTTCAAAATTATGTTAACTTCAAAAAATGTTTAGCAGTTAGGAATAAAAGTGGAACAGGTCCATCATTGTAAGAATTTCGAGAGATATGTTAAACATTTGATTAACTCGCATGACAAGCGTGTAATAAATTAAAGATGCATTCTTCTTTAAACATATATGTTATCCTCTTTGAATTTTCAATAATTAAATTGATTATTTTAAGCTGGACAAGACGCACATCCTAATTTTATACAAGAAGAATGCTTGATTTTTTGAATTGAAAAAACTCCTTAATTTTACTATGCCAGCGAATAGAAAAAAAGGAAAAATCTTGTGTAGTAGAAGCGACAAACAATAAACACGAACGATACGCCTTCTTTGAAATATGTATTTTAATTTTAGGACATTTTCTAGCTTGAATTCGTAAAGTTCAGTGGCTAAAATAAATGAATTGGAGTTATATTAAATCAAGTATCAGCTAGTTCATGTATTCTTTAGAAGAAGACAATTTATTTCCAGTATTCTTTTTAGATAACTTCTTTTAAAATAGGAACATCGATCTACCTAATCTACCTGAATATTATTGTAGAAATATTAAATTTAAAATATGTCGTAGAAATTCACGATTATTTATTTCAATTTGGATTCTGGACCAATATAACACAAAATAGAGTGAAAACATTTAATGGGTGTCAGTGAGTATTAGTCACTACAAGTATTAGAACTTTAGTTTTTCTTCTTGGTACTAAATCTTAAATCTATTTATTTTCAGCATTAAATCTTAAATCTTTCTTTTATAAAAATATTAATGTGCAAAAGTATGCCGATAAAATTATTCTCTCAAGTCCCACGATTCTTTGGAATTTATTTTCCATTATTCAAATATATTTCTCCTGTTTTTCTATTTGTAGCCTTGTACATTTGTTTATAGTCCAAAGTCATTCGTTCCCCGGCATTGTTATAACAAAAATAAATCCTTGGGAATGGCAGAACGGTTTTCTGACGAGTAACGAAGCGACACATTCCGGGCAAAGAGAGTGCGCTTCAAAAAAAAAAAAAAAAAAAAAAATTCAGCCAGGTCGGAGCGTTTATACCGTTCTAACCGTGTAATTTTTTCTTTTTTTATTCTTCGCTCTTTTGCTTGTCAACGGCTTGTTTACGTCGCTGCGAAAAATCGAATTTGAGCAAACGAAATTTTGGCATTCACCCCGAAATTCGATAGAGATCCCTTTAAAATTTCTTAATGTACTGTTTGAGAGATATTTAATATTTTGAAGACTGCTCGTTCTTTTCAATATTAACTACTAATCTAAACGAAATTTGCTAGTTCAATAATTAGTATTCGTATAAATAATCTGTGACCAATTGTTCAGTCGAAAATCTGTACGAAAGTAACTTCACCTAAGCAAATTTGACGCAAT